GTTACACTCTGCACTGATTTAGGTTGGAGTTAGTTATGAATAGTTTATGCAGTAAAAACAGACTGTTTCACTCAAGGCCTGCTTGATTCTTACCTGTATTACACGTCACAGTACATTTTTATATGCATCAGGGTTTCCTTCTTCGAATGTAGTATTTTTCTCTACAGAGTTGGAAATTTCAGCAAAATGAGTTGATCTGTAATTCCACTGGTTTTTATGGAAGGACAGTTACATGATATGTAGTTCGCATACCCTCAGGAGTTTGGCCAAGTCTAACAAGGTCTAAAGATATCACAGACAGTAAGTCAGTTTCCATGAACTTGGGCTGCCCATCTGAAGAACAAACCTGAGTTTTAGGGTCACCATAGGAAGACCAAGCCTTCAGGAGAGTTCAAATACTAACCCAATCCCGCCAAGGTCTTCGGAAAGTTGTAGAGACCAAATCCAAGAGGGAGTTTTAAGGAGCGACTGTGTATCAGAGCAGAATCTGTTGACCCCACGTCAAACTCACAAATGTGTTTTGCTCATTGTACTCTGGGTAATTTCTCATTACTTTATACAACCATTTGTGTAACAGCAAAATGAAAATTTGGGCTCAGACGTGACATGGTAAGTATGTTTCAAGGACAAATTAAAAATGAGGGAAATACTACTCACCACTAGCTTTTCTATCATCTATTGATACGGCTTGTGGTTTTCTGAATTGACTGACTGATATTATAGCTTATGATATTAAATCATCTTGACATTCTTGTATAAACATACTTGAAGATGATAATTTGCTAATAAACCATTAATGTTAATTTTTAAAAATGGGGGGGAAAACATTTCTAAGTAGGGGAGTATATGTATGATTTCTTTCTCCATATTTTCCTATTAGAAATGTACAGTTTTACTTATACAGTCATGTGTCGCTTAACAACAGGGACACATTCTAAGAAATGCGTCATTAGAAGACTTTACTGCTGCGCAAACCCTCAGAGTGCACTTACACAAACCTAGATGGTACAGCCTACTACACACCTAGGCTGTGCGGTACTAACCCTATGGCACCGCCATCATAGATGTAGTCTATAGTTGACCGAAAAGTTATTATGCGGCACATGACCATAGAGGTCTTTGAAAAGCATGGATCACTCATTCTTTAAAAGAAAGAAAAAAAGCTGCAAATAGCTACTGTGATGATCGATATAGGGATTACAAAAAGTGAGGTATAGGGAAGATCAGAAAAAAGAGACAGGAGAAAGGTTGATTCTCAGATTGGCCAGGCCCCCCCATGCCCCGTCTCAATATAATCTGTGTACTAAGGTCATATTGTTAAAATATGTTATGCATAATATATGTTAAAAATAAATATTTAAAAGAAGCCTGCTAACTACAAAAGAAACCTGCCATAATCATATTAAACTTCAAAAAAGGAGACATATTAGTTGAAATGTATTGTTTGAATTGTATTTGAAAAGAAAGTTTTTAACTTAAATAGCTATTTCAAAGCCTTCTACTGACAATCTCATCTCGCTGGAAATGGCACCAGCTAGAAAAGTCCCTCTACAAAACACTCCTTGACTTTGTAAACTAAGCTAATTATGATTTAACTGAAACACCACCTAACTGCTTCTTTACATTCTTTATGTGAGAAAAACAAATGTAGTTTATCATATTTTACTCTGAAGGTTTCAAAAATAACACTGTTCAATGGATGAAGATCACAAGGAAGGGAACAGACTAGCAAATGGAAATTAAATCCATCTAGAAAGGATAATTTACTAAAATAATTCATTGTCATTTCGAATCTAACCATTTTTCTAATGACTCATTTAAACAAAGGAACTGCTTACATTTATACAAAGAGACGTCTAATATAATTAGTATGGAAAAGCATATTAAAGATGTAAAAACTTAGAATAATGTAAACTATAGCACAACAAAACAAAGTCTTCTATCTTAGCTCAAACCCACAGCATTTCAAGAATGTCTCTTCTCTAATAATTTTCTTTAAAAGGCTGCATGATTTTGAAACATTTTGGCATTATAATTAAAGAGTATCAAGTATGCACAACAAGGAAACTTGTAATACTATGGCATGACTATAATTGCAAATGAGTTTTTATGAAATGCACAGTTACAGGAGCATCCTGACTGAGCTGGACAAAGCTGGGGCTGCACAGAACTAGTCAAATAAAACTTTTTCTTCTAAAAAATAATCAAACAATCAATAAGAACATTTAGATTTTAAAAGAGGTTAATTAAAATACACTCAATAAACTTCAAAGAAACAAATATTCATCTATGATAGAGAGCCAAAAGCTTGCATCTAAAATGTGATAAAAACTTCTGGTGAGTCCAAGCAAGAATTACTGAGAATGTGCAAGTGTTCGGTCACATTCTGCTCTGTGAAGCCAGCTTTGTTAATGATAACTTTAATTGTATAATAATTTTAATTATTTTGTAGATTTAAGCAAATAGATGTGAGCTTAATACCAACATTCTGGTGAGCAAATAAGCTTTTTTGGAATTTATAAATTTCAATTAAAGATTGGGTAGGGAAAAAAATTTAAAAGTTAAAACAACTTAGTTTTCAGTATACTAATATATTTTTACTTTGTAATACAATATAGCTGTCACATACAATGGCTCTGGTAGGCTTAAATCAGATTTCAATGGGCAAGAAAGGCCAGAGACAGGTTTATACAATATTCAATAAGCAGTAATATCTAGTCAGTGTACAACAACAAAATTAAAAAAAAATACTAACCTAGAAAGACAGAAAAAGAATTTATTGTTTTTAAATTCCAGAAATAAAAATAACAGAATAGCATGTAGTCCATAATAAGCTGGCCCTATAATTTCTAAACTATAGTCCAATTGAAACATTTAAGAAATAAAAACAATCTGCATGTTTTTCTACCAGGTAAACACACCTGAGAGAGTTACCTATAAAGAAATAGGCTTTAAAACTCTTAATCACAAAGAACCTTCTACTGTGACAGTAGGAAGATGTGCTCCGTGCCTGACAGCACGCTAAGCCGTTTCCCACAGAGATCTGTGCATTGCTTGGCTGCAGGTTACGATCCACCAGTGACACCGCACTCCACATTAACACCACCAAGCACATTTGACCAAAGAAGCACAGCAACGTTCTCAAACCATCTGTTTATATCCATTAGTATGTAAAAATCACAGTACACACATTTGGAAGTGTTTAACTTGTCCATAAATAAGAGTATATTATCTCAGCATAAGCTTTAAAAAAAAGGTCTGAGCAGTCAGCCCAATAATAGGGGAAACAGACTCTACATTTTGACTAAAGTAAAGATATTTCAAAATTATAATTGTTTTCATTGCCAAGAATTAACAAATAAATACAAATTCGAAAATGTAAGTAGTTCTTCTGGCAGCAAAATTACATCTACCATGACATCTCCAGGCAAAAAATCAATTCAGAGTTTGAAAGTAATTTGTGCTTTGTTTCTATAAAAATGCAGTGTTACTTTCAGACATTTCTAAATGACTAGATTTGTAAAATAAGCAGTGAATTTCTTTTCACCACAGTTTATTTCTAGATCATCCTATGCAGATTATGGATGGAACTAAAAATTACTTAGCTTTGTCCTCAGTACTTTAACTATATGAATCCAGTTCTTTTTATTTGAAACAGTGATTTATTGTCATTCTTCAGGTGAACAACAAAAACAAATTCTAAAATTTTACCTTTAAATTAAGCATTTAAAATTTCAGATGACAGAGCCAATAACTGGTAACAGCTTCTTTAATTTCATATTAATAGTCTAATTAAAAATACTAACAACTACCTGGCAATAGATTTGAAAGAATCAGGTTTCTGTGAAGGACAACAAAAAACATGCAGGATACCTCCCCATACACATGATCTTTCTTATTTTATATCTAAACTTGTAAAATTTTTAGGAATACATGATCATTCTACACAATACACATCTTCTAGAGCATTTCTAAAGGAAATTACAGTTTTTGGTCTTAAGGAATAAGACTAAGATGGAAACGGGGATGAAAACAGTGAAATTGGAGGGAGCAATCCACTCTGTCTACGCACAAGCACGCTGCTGTCCATCCAGGCGAGTCAGCGGTTACAGTTCAGTACATGAATTTCAAGGCAACTAAGAAATCGAAACACAGGTATTTCCTCTTCCTTGAGTTAACAATTCTTTTAAAAGCTCTATCCATAAAGGATTGTTGGGCTTTGTTTTTTCAAAAGGGAACAAAGAATAAATAGGAAAAAAAAAGTTTCCATCCCCAAATTCATATACACAAGTTAAATGGGCTGTAAGCTAGTTTTAGACTGCACAGTGAAATGGAATTATTGGTACCATCTGAGGCAGTTGCTTCCCTAGATGGTTCAAAACATGATCCAGTAAAACAAATGTTTTTATGCCTCAAACAACTAGAAAGCATTTCATTATTGTTCTAATAACTCGTTTAATGAACTCCTAAGATAACTGATTTTCTAGGATGTGGTACCTGAACGGTACACCTAATCATTACTAGCAATAGAATGCCAAGTTCAAAACTGCTGTGAAAGTAAAATCATTATTGAAAACTCAACCTTACTATAAAATGAGGGAGAACTTAGTGCCAAATACTAATACCAAATGTATGAAGGCAGACTTTCTGTTTATGGAAGACAGAGTGAGGAGATGGGTGCACCCAAGCAAGACCAACCAGAAGACAGAACAGAGAATGAAAAATGCCTAAAAAAAAAAAAAAGGAAGAGGAAGAAGAAGGAAAACGGAGGAGAGCCAGGCAGCAAAAAAATTACTGGATAGAATAAAAATCAAAGAAAATGCGGCATGTGCATACGACTCTCTTTTTTCTGTCCTCTGTGTTTCTAATAATTTACAATGTAAGTGGCAAACAGGTCACACTAGCAGGCAAGAATGAGCTTTCTGATGGATAGAGATGAAGGATTTGGGGCTAATGAATTGTTTTGTTTTCTTGTTTTTGTTTTTGCTTTTAATTCATACCTGAAAGCCTTGAATCCTTGCTAAATATTCCAGTTGTTTTGAAGGTTGTACTGGAGAACAAGGGGGAGTAGGAGAACTCCCTTTTAAACCTACGGCTTCAGCTGGAGATGTTCCATTCATAAGGAGTTCCCTGGCAATTGTAGCTGAACTATTCGATGTGGGCGATATACTGAAGAAAGAGCTTGAGGGTTGGTTCATATCTTTGGGTGACAAATAGCCTAGAGTAGTGCCAGAGATTACTTTGTGGCGGCTGGCTTCCATCTCTTGATAAACATCAGGAGACAAATGAAGAATTCCTTTTGGAGCTATAAATAAAATGAAGGAACATTGTTATTATACTTAAAATAATTGAAACAGAAACATGTGATAGCATTATTAACTCAGTGATTTCACCTGGTGTAGTAACAAAGCAAAGAGAAACACTGTCAATCAAGCATCTTCCTTATACTTGTAGAAGCAAGTGCAGCCTCCACTTAGAGGCGAATAATGTTCAATATTCCTAAAATCAGAAATTTAAAAATACACAAAAGTGACTTCAGTGTACCTTGTATGCGGTGAGGAAGCTGTGGAGGAACAAGGGTCACTGATGTGAGGAAATGCAATCGGGGATAAGGTTAGGAAGGCGCAGTGTCTTCACCCTGCAATTTAGTATTTTATGATCTCATAAAAGGACACAAAACCCTAACATATGCAGCAATTGAGACACAGCAGGTAAAATTAAGGGTGGATCAGTCCAAAACATCTGAGGTACAAACTCATGTCCAGTGGCCTACTGGTGCTCTCCTCTCCACAAGGATATCCTACAGACAACTCTAACTCATAAACATGTCAAGAAGTGACAGAGCATCTTCTTTCCCAAATTAGCACTGTCTCCTATCTTGCTTATCTTATTATGATACCACCGTCTATCTGCTCAGTTGCCCAACCAAGACTCCTGGCAACCATCTTTGACTAAGCCACAAACAAGTAGTTACCATGTCCAGTGAGCCTGGGCTGTGTTATCAGTTGGTGGGGTTGTAAACACACCAAAGAAGCACCTTCTTTCGACCACCATTGGTCTCAGAGATGTTTCAAACAATATTTTGCACTGCTTGTTCTAATGCCTTTGGATCATATATTAACAATTCTCAAATCATGATGTCATCTTTTACAATTATTGGTAAATCACCACTTTTGGAGAATGTACTCTGAGAGACACAACTTAATTCCCTTGCTCTTGCCCCCCCTCTCCTGCCGTTAACTTTCTGATGCAAGCCCTTGATGTTTCTCCCCTAGGCTACAGTAACAATCACGAAAAGTTCTCACTGCTGTTAGCCTCCCCAGCGTCCATTTCTCAAAATGTGTTCTATAACATGGTCCTAAATAAAAGGGTTCCGTGATAAATAAATCTTGGAAATTATGCAAATTATAGCACATATGCCCCTTTTGGAAGATTAAAAATACACATTAGCATAGTAAAAACTCTGAAAAGTCCAGAAGAACAGAAATCTATTCAACTTGCTTTAATCCAGGATTTCCCAAATTTATTTTATATCCAAGCTTTTTACATAACATTAATAACATCTAACACTTTGGGAAATGCTAGAAGCTAGCCATTCTCTTACTTAAAAGTCTTTACTGGTTCCCCATCACTTACACTATAAAATCCAAACTCCTTAGGATGACAAATGAAGCCCTTAATGATGTGGCTCTCCTCACCTCTCTATCCTCATCTACTAAAGTCTCCGTGAAGACCTCATTCCCCAGGCACGCAGAGATTAACACTTCTTTCAACACTTCAGGCTGTTTGAGCCCACCACACCTTTATTTCTATTCTATTTTTCAGTTACACGCGTGCACGCACAAACACACACACACACACACTTAGGGAAGCTCCTCCTCCTACGTTTCAGGCACTGTGCTAACCAATATTGTCCTGACCTCAAAAGTCACGCTCAGTCTATTGAGAGAGAAAAACGAAAAGGGATAATATAATGTAGTACGTGCCTCAGTGGAGATGGGTGTAGAGAGCATTGGGAACGGGAAAGGAGAAGCACTAGGAGCTCGGGAAAGGCTTCTTGGAGATGATGCTGACAGTAGACTTCAAGGGATGAGGAGAAAGAAGCCAATGAGAAAGACAACTGAAGGCGAATGCACAGCATGAGCAAAGGCAGGGACCAGGAGAGTGTGTGTTCCAGGGACCTGAGGCAGTTCCTTCCCACCAGAGCATGAAGAGGGAGCTGGGACTGCAAAAGGTGAGATGCAGGCAGGCAGGGGCCAAGCTCCAGATGGCTTTAAAACATAAAAGTGGTCTTTTTTTCTTTTTTTAAACAATTTATATAGCTTACACTAATACATCAATCCTATTTTATGGATTTACTTTATGCCCATGTGTTAGTTTTATAATCAGGAAGAAATTTCAATAAAGTTTTTTTAAAGATAATACATGCATTGGAAGAAATGCAGATAAATCTTCCTAGCCAGATGAAACTACTTTTAACATTTTGCTTTAAAGATGCTTTTAGTCTTTTTTTCTATGTACTTTTTTGTTGTTAACTTGAAAACATAAGTTAAAGATCATCATACCATATGATCTTGTTGTTTACAAAACAATATACTTCTAGTACTAATTTTAAAAGCATAATATTTCATTATATGAACTGTTTCCCTAAACAATCCCATGTTGTTGGGCATTGAATTTGTTTCCAATTTTTTGCAATTATAAACTTCAAAAAAGTTGTACCCAACTTCACCCTCCTATATTAACATATGGAAGTGCCTTTTATCCTATTTTGATAATGATTATTACTAAGAAATCTTGCCACTGCTCTGTTACTGTAGATAGGTGGCAAAGATTTTTCAATAATAGTATCCAACACCAAAATAGGCAAAAGGTACTTTCAGCCCCATCCCCTGACCTCAGAGAAGTGCGATTGGCTGGAGATCACCAGAAGCCAATGATTTAACCAATCATGTCGATGAAATGGAGGCTCCACAGAAACCCCTAACTAATGGAGTTTGGAGAGCTTCTGAGTTTCGAACACATCCACATGAGGAACGGGTGGTGCACCCCAACCTCACAGGGACAGAAGCTTCTCTGCTCCACACCCTTCTGAATCTCACCCTGTGCACCTCTTCATCTGGCTGTTCATTTTATAACCTTTATCATAAACCACTTATAGTAAATGAAGTATCTTCCTGAGTTCTGTGAGCCCTTCTAGTAAATTATCGAACTTGAGAACGGGGTAGTAAATTATAGAACTTGAGAACGGGGTTGAGAGAATGCCCTGAATTTACAGCTGGTTGGTCAGAAGCACAGGTGGCCACATGGTATTTGTGACTCGCATCTGAAGTGTGGCAGTCTTGTGGGACTAAGTCCTTAATCTGCAGGGTCTGTGCTAATTCTAGATAGTGTCAGAATTGAGTTGAATTGCAGGACATCCAGTTGGTGTCTGGAAAATTGGAAAATTGGTTGGTACAGAGAAAAAATCCACATACATTTGGTGTCAGAAGGGTTATGAGGACAGTTCATATGGCAAAACTGATCAAACTATACACGTTATGTGCAGTTTATAAGACTTCAATTATATCTCAATAAAGTTGTAAAAATATCTGCCAATTTGATAAGTGAAATGTCAGGTTATTTTTTGTTTTTTCACTAGCTGCCTAAATACTATATGTAATTCTTATTTAAAGAATAGCTTAAATATTACAACTCTAAATTCTATACTCAATTTAAAAAATCCAGAAACTAACAGGATTACTCCAGTATTGTTATTATACAGCAGTAATGAGCTTGCCAATAGCAATATTATAAAGCAACAAAAACGCTCTCTCAAGACTGAAGAGAGGCATTACATCACAGTATAAGAACTCACGCAGAGTTCACGCTCCCTTGTTCTACAGTAAATGACTTTTCTTCATGAATAAAGAAGATTCCTTTCTACAGAGCTAAACTAATACAACAGTGATTGAAAGAGTGTAAAGACACATGGATTCATGCGGTCAACTACCGAATGACTTTCAACTTGAATATTAGTAACAGAGTGTACGGATTGGTCACAATTCATTTAGGTTCTTCCTATTGTAAATTTACGTAGTTTTTCAGTAAGGTAAGACCTAAAAGTAGAATCAAGGAGTAATTTAGGGTATGCATATTTAAGGACTTTTCACTTATTTTGCCTTTTAGGCCTCCTGGAAAACTCTATCAGTTTATACCTCTATCAGCAGAGTGTGACTAAACCTGTTTTCCCACATTTCTGTCAAAACAGATTTTAGATATTCTAAATTATTGCCATGCTACAATGTTTCATTGTTACATCAATTTGCATTTATTTGATTACTGTGCAGGATAAACTTTTTCTCAAGTGCCCATGCCTTCTTTCTTGTTGGCCTTGACCTCAGTTTCGCTCACGCACTTCAAAGGTATTCCTCTTGCTCAGGCTTGTTACATCTATTCTATTCCCCCTCTATCTGAAGATGCCCTGAACTCACTTTGCCAGCATCTTATCTTCTTTCCCTGCTTTCACCTTTAATACTCCCATCTTGGTACTGTAGGTCTGTAACCGTTGTACACAGCTACACTGGAGACACAACAGTGGCACTATTCTAGCACTTTACATGCATTGTCCCATTTAATCCCCACAACCATATGGAATGGGCATTTTCACTTCTCTCTACTAGAGAAAAAATGGAAGCATAGAGAAGTGATGAAACCCAGCAAGGTCACAGCTAAGATACTAAGTAGCAATGCTAGAATTGGACTCCAGGTAGTCTGTCTCTAGAGCCTGGATACCTAATCGTTACATTAAATGGCCTCCTGAAAGACCACGTAGGGAACTAAATGCAATGTCCAGCCAGCTCCACACACCTAGGTTTAATCCAGGAAATAAACTCCACGCCTGGGGTTTGCCTAGATTAGCTCCAGGGTTGATCCATGCCATCTTGATTGTCCTTAGATGTTCCAGAGATGGGCTCACCAAAATCTCCCTCAAATATATGATGCTTACACAGGATTTTAAAAGCCCAAACTTGCCAGGGACTGTGACATCTTATAAAATGAGGAATGCCAGGCCACAGTGCCCATTTTACATGCTTTTCCCATTAGGTTTGCACATCTCTCAAATAGGCATATAATGCCTCTGGCACGCAGAGCCTCCTGGAGCATCTTCATGGAGCTCCAGTTTTTACTGGAAGAGTTGTACGGGATGCTTTGAAGTGAGATCTCTTCAAAGGTTTCCTCATATGAATAGATAAGCAAACTCAGCAGAACCTTGCTTTTCTATGTTCACTAATGTCATGATTTCTTCCAGAGAGGCTGAAGAAC